TACTCCCCCCCTCACATACACACACTCTCCCCTTTGAAAATTACATTACCAGCTGTCTTTGTTTTTTATCAGTAGAGAGAGGCAGCCCTTTAGGAAAGAAAAGTATTCAGTGTTTCTTCTTGGTGGCTCAATCTCTCTTTGTTAAAGAAGTTGCTTCTTTTATCTTAGATCTGAGAGAAAATGAGAAGAGAAAAACATTGTAAAATATAACCTTTATTTGTTGATAGACACCAGCTTGCCTTCAATTCTAGCTTTAATATTCTACCACTTCTAATTGACTTCTGCAACTTAAACCAAGAGAAAGGATAAACTCTAATAGTATGATTTTTAATTATAATTTTAAAATATTATCATATATTACATATATTAGAATGTGTGTGTATATATATATTTGGAAGACACCATGTCAGTCTCTTCATATGTCAATGACCAAGAAAGTACTATAGTATTCATTGGCACACTGGTCTGAAAATCATCCATCTTTTGTTATTTTCAAGAATTTAAGATCTTTTTTCTCTGGCCATTTTCTCCATTCTATGGGCTTCTGTTCTAAATTTTACTTTTTTCACCAAGAAGGTATCTATAGATTTGGGTAAAGGTGGAAATCTTTCTGTAACAGTAAAAGGAACTTATAGTTGTCTTAATACTTAACAACTTACAGAATTCCCTAAAGGAGCATTTCCAAGCCAAGTTCCCGAGAACAGTAATGTTCTGTATGGTGTTAGTAACTCAGCCTTGAAAAAAAAATAGTTCTGGGGTCAATGAGATTTGGAAAACACTAGGTTATATGGATAAGCAAGTTTCTTTCCTGTTGGAATTCGTGAAGCCTTTAATACACATTGAGACTCTGAAGGAGGCCAGAGTCAGTAGCTCTTCTCCATACTTCATGTGACTATGGAATCCTTTCTCAGGGAAACCAATTTCTCACTAAATATACCATGAAAGTGGCAATCTTTGCCCCAAAGTGATATTTGCCAAATGATTTAATGGCAAGAACTCCCTGCTGAAAGTAATAAAAACATGATCCAATTAAAAAGAAAATGCATATTTTTTAAGACAAATGGGTCAACTCTCTTTTTCCTGAGGATTCTAGTCCCACCTCCCACCCCTTATGCTATGGAATTGCCTAACTGGAGAGAAACTTAGAATCTGTATGAGTTGTTTTCAAACTACTCATCAATGAATCTTAAAACTGGTTTAGTGACTTGCAACCAACCATTTTTTAATAGAAAGGATAGAACAGAGTAGAAATTATCAGAGTAGAGTGCACAAGGAAGGTTAAGTTGTTGTTTTCACACTTTGGTTTCAGTGTGTGTGTGTGTGTG